ACCCAAAGAAAGGCAGAAACCCCCCCCCCCCCCCATGCCCTCTCGGGATCTTGGGCACGCACGCACACAGGCCCAGAGTGAGTTTAAGCCACCGGGTCTGAGACTCGAACTGTGGTGGGCTACATGGGAGTCCAGCGACATAGCGCCAACTGCTGGTCCCAAAAAAGTGAATTACGTTTAATGGAGCAAAAACAATGAGAAAATAAGACATTTTATTAATTCATTTATTCAGTAAACATTGTTTTTTATTTTTAAATATTTATTTATTTAATTCCATTTGTTATTATTTTTTTATTTGACCAGAGCCAGAGAGCAGGAGAAAGGGAAAGGGAGAAAGCAAGCCGTCAGGTCCGGGACTCAAACCTCAGCTGGGCTATGTGGGGATCCAGCGCCTTTAACCACCACACAACCTGCTGGCCTCTGTTTTTTAATTTTGCTATAGGACACGTGTGCTGGTGGAATAGCGACAGAGACAGCGAGAAAACACTTCCTTGGGGGGATGACCACTCTGCAGTCTATTCACCTTTTGGGATTTGGTACATCACATACCTGCCCTGCGTGTTTTTCCAGCCCCTGGGTTTGCTGCTTTCCATGGGGCGAGCCTGCTGCGTGACCACCAAGCACCACAAAGCCACTGGCTCCACTGGCTGGTGGGATAGCGCTACTTATAAAACACTTTTCTGGGCACTGGAGATGCAATGGTCAGGAAAAGGTCCTTTTCTTCGTGGAGTTTACATTTCAGTGGAGGATATAAAAGCCAGTCTCACAGATAATTGCAAAATTCAAACTTTGAGGAAGTGGTGCTATTGGGGCTTAAAATAGAGAGTTTGGATTAGAAGTCAGGAGATTTACATTTTTTTTGTTGTTCCAGCGCTTATTAGCTGTGTCTTAGCTTTTCTTAATGTTAGGTTTCCTCATTTGTGAAACTAACATAAATTTGATAGCCTTCACTTAAGTCCCTTTATTGTCAGGACCTTTCAAAATTGCATTATGGAAATTAATGGCCTTTATTCACTTATTAGATCGCTTTGTGTAGATGAAAATGTGTTCTAATTTGAGTTCTGGAATAGTGAGCTTATATAAGTATGTAACTCTGAGCCTTGAGTTCTCCTGTAAAAAAGATTGTGTTTGTTTAACATGATTAGTGTTAAATGAGATAATGTATGTAAAGTAACTGGCAGGTGATAGTGTAGATACTCAGTAAATGTTAGGATCTCTTCCATTCCCTCTTTAGAATCTCTAAAATATAATCAGAAGCAA